TGCAAAAGTATGCAACGAAATATTCGTTTCTAATCTTTAATAGCTATAATTATGTTGCTAATTAAATTTTTTACTAGTAAATTTTAAAATCTTGTACTGTTTACTTCAAATTTGTTCATAGTTTTCAAATATTGTGTGGCGCACGCGCGCGTGTGTGTGTAAGTGTTTTATTATTTGAGAAAAGCTTATCAACGCTAAAACTAATATAACAATTGCAAAAAAAAGTTTTCCTTCTTTTATAAATAATTATTTCTTAATAAGTAATATTATGTATGTATAATATAATTTGCAAATGCTAATGTTTTCTTTGTTATCGCACTTTGTTATCACAATTCAACAACGACAGCTGCATAAATTTGAACTTTACACAGCATTAATATATGTATATAAAATATATTCGATAACAGTTACATTTTATATTGCTCAATCTGAATGATACGTTGCGAAATATTAATATTAAAAATCTTGATAATTACATCTTCAAACTTTCAAGCTCACATTTATTCATTTTTATTTCAAAATACTGTACGTGAATCCTACACGTGGTGATAAGTAATAAAAAAAAACAGGTGATAAGTTCGAATAATAAGTAAACCGCTGTGATCTATTTACATTTGATGTGCATGTTTAAATATCTATCCTTGTGTGCTCTTTATTTCATTTCTTATCTACCAACAGGTAGAAAAAGCATGTGTGTTGAATCATGCTGGGGATAATTAATGCGTACAAAATTTCAGTTAAGAAAACAACTTGCGTGATATAGGTACGTTTTTTTGCCATCAATGTTAACCCATACTTTGTTAGAACTATGATATTAATATAATTTCTGGAAATTGTCAAATTTGTAATAATTGTTAGTAGATTTTTTTATTTTACCCTTCAACATATTGCAAGAATCTTGATGTTAACAGTCCATTGGCAGTTAATATGACGTACGCATCGCAGTCTTTTGCTTTAATATGCTGGAGTGTTTTCGCAAGTAACTTCCTCGGTTGTGAAATATCTTCACATTTGCGTATGGCGATCTGTGCGAAGACAAAGTGACATAAAACGTATTTATGAATTATTAATTTTGTTATTGAATAAATGTGGTGTAAATCATAGACGTGAGAAAGAAGTTCGATTACAGCGCATAACAGTAAATTGATATGAGTTTTTGTATACATTACTTACGTCATATTTCGACAAGAAAGAAGATATTTCCATACTGTGCACATCAATCAGTCTGCGATAAAGAGGATCTGTGATAAAGACTATGCAACTACCGTGTGCAGAAATTTGTTTCACGATTCTCTGGACCACTAATCTCAGATTGTTGGTTTCGTGCTCGAAACGATGCACCTCTTCGAAATAGTCAAACTTTGAAATAGTCTTCGAAATAGTTTTCGAAATAGTTTCTGCAATTATTGGAATTTGTTAGAATAAACTTTATTCAACTATAGATTCTAATCACAGAATCAATTAAACATTAAATAATTGTATTAACTAATTATCTAGTATTTTAAATAAATTACTCGAGTCACGATAAAATTAAAAACTCGCACACCGTCTTCGCAATATACATATTTTTGAGCGACTTATAATGGATTTGTTAACTCCGCATTAATTTAATACTAAATTATTGTGTTATTCTCTAGAATCACTAGTCGAAACAGTTATATTACTTTACACGGATTATTTTACCTTCCGACGATAGTGAGGATGGATTGCAAAAACACGATGAAAACCGCTGTTATCACCTCAAAATGCATGTCGAAATATTTATTCTCATTTTATTCGTCGCATCCGAATACTTGGCTCGTATCGAATTATCGATCTTTCGCAATCTTTTACGTCTTTCCCCACGATGTAAATTTTTAACTATCTCATTTTCATACAATTGCGTCTGTCGAGGCAACACAATCGCTCTTGCATAATTCTGGCACATCTTGAATAATTTTAGACCGAACAGCTTGTTGTAGGTCGAAACAAACATTTCGCTAAATAAATTAGTTTGATCATTAGTGCTGGTAAGAATCTAGATGCGATCGCCAATTATTATTTTACAAAACGATATTAAATCGATATCATTAAAAGTATCTCACACAATACGGTGCCAAATATGATATTTGAAAATATGTGATAAAAGAAAATATCAAAAAATCAATTTTAAATGTACAAACTAATCATATACATACATATACAGTTCATTTCCTGGATTGATTAACAATATATTAATCTTTTACGCAAGAGAACAAGTGTTCTTCGATTTTGCGGGAGAACTATACATTTAAGATAATTAATTAGAGTATATTTTTAATTTTAAACTTGAAATAACTCATGAAAGACATAAATCTTTTTCTTATAAAGTCAACATACAAACATACTTTTTATATTATAATTTGGGTATGCATAATTGATTGAGCTTATTTTCAAATCGATCGGTTTAGGCGTTATTGAGATCCGAGAATTCTTAAGATCCGGCTCCTCTCAGCTCAGTGGTTTCGCGTTTAGTCACATCGCTCTTTTGCGCGTTGCGCTTGAATTTGGCGTGAGACACGATCGTGTCTCTTGATACTTACAATTAGGCAAAGTTATGGAAAAATATTAGAATTAATTTTTAATATTTCAAAAATTGTTCGGTTTTCCATAAGAAAATAGCCTAGAATTTATTTTGTTCTGTTTATTCGTTTCGCACGATTACAATGTATTATCCTGTACAATACAGAGGCAAAATATTCAATTCTAAAAATTTTGTTATAAATTATGAGGTACAGTAAAAGTAATTTTTGAAACACAAAAATGATTAACTTCTAATTAATGCATGAAGTCTATTCAAATCGTGTTCTAATAAAAGTGGATCATTCTTAATTGTTACCTGCACATTGATTTACGCAATATAAAGAAGAAGAAAAAAGAATAAGATAAAAGAAATATTAAAGGTCTTTATAACTGTGAAAAAATATTTTGGAAGAAATAAATTTATGTTAATGTTTTAAAAATTATTTTTGAATTGCGTTATTGCGTTTTCGGTATTTAAACTATAAATTGATTGCTGTTTTAATTGATTGCTGTTTAAAATGAAAATTTCTTTTTTGTGTGAACATTACACTACACGATATTAATAACACCAAATATACATATATGTGTGTGTGTGTGTGTGTGTGTGTGTGTGTGTATGTATATATATTTAATCTTATCATAATAAGAAACTATTAAACTTTAGTGCAAACTACGCATTATATCAAACACATTGCTGGCTATTTAATGATTGTCAAAATGTTTGGCAAAATCCGTTATTGCTCATTTGTCTTACGTGATCGAAGAGAAAACGAAATATCAGCAAATCAAAGATATGAATTACCCAAATCATATTTATTGCAAGAGATATCATCAGAGATGTGCCCAATAATTTGTTTTCTACCGCTCGATTGGCTTAGTCCGTCGAGTTTCTTTTTCTTTTAGATGACCTCGGATTTATCGATTTCTTGAATTGCTTTAGGTCTATCACAGAACTGCTGCAGATTCTTTAAGACTGCCTCGATCTACTTAAAACAGTGTAGGATTGCGCTCTGTTCATTAAATGCGCTCTTACAACTCTAAGTAGGCAATATTCTTGATCTGAACATACCAATTAAAGAACCAATTAAACGACGATAATTTCAAGTATATTATTTGTCATCAAATCGGTAGAAGAAATCATATTCGACTTATTATAAATTAAACGTCTCGAAAAGAGATTGTAAGTGATTTTTTCTAGACGAAACTAATAGATGTACTTTCATTACTAATTAATAAATATTAACTAAAGAAATTGTGAGTTCGATATATCAGCCATTGCCAATAGTAAAGAATCGTTTACAATATAATATGATAAATACAACTTTTACAACTCATGTATGACGGCTTTCTTCTTAGATTATCCATATAAACAATTAAATGCAAATATTAATATTACCTTTCCTACTACTACAGATATTTTAAAATTTTTGGCATAAGCATACAAACATTCAAAATATTTTATTTCGTATTACTTTATTTTTGACAAAAATTATTTTCTTGCAAGTTACATTATATTTTCCCAGACATATTTTGTACTCTGGAGGGAGAACCGATTCTTTCTTCAATATTGATTATAAGACATTTATAGTTGTCAAATAATTTTCTATAATATTTTTATTGCAAATCAAAGAAGACAAATATCTGCTCCAACAAAAATTTGCAGTGTAAGGAGGAATAATTAAATTAAGTAAATATTACTTTAACCGAGGTATACCGAAGAGCCCATAATTTGTAACTTGTCTTCCATACTCGTCTATTCGTTTTTAATTTTTTAACTATCATCAATTAGTCGCTCTCCTCCCAAATTAGCTTTCACGAATTCAAGTACCTGAGACAAATTATTTCGACAACATTAATAAACCTAAAATTTTTTCGCACTACAGTTTATGAGTGCATTAATTGCTGTGTTAAAGGTAATCGGATTGGATATGTCATGTACAAAAAAATCAAATAAAAATAAGCTCAATATTAAGTAATAAAGAAATGAGTGTTAT